GCTGTTGCCCTTTTCCCAGTGTCTGCGGTGTGCCCCCGTGGCCCCCCAGGGCCTGGGATTCTCTTTGCTGCCCGATGATGTGACAAGGCTCAGGAGCCCGAGGGGTGGGGGGCCAGCAGCAGCTGGAAGGGGAATTGAGTGGGAAGGGGCTGGCTCTGGCAGCCGGGAGAGAGTTTGATGGATTACTCTGTGGGCCGAGAGGTTTCTCCCTAATCCCCTTTTGTGTCCCGGCCTGTAGCCCCCTCACTCTCTCTGACAAGCTGCTAAGCAGAAGGCTTCCAGTCTGAGGGAAGAAAAGGCAGCTCAGCGGGGTGAACTCTAAATCCCTGGCCTCTGGGCCCTGGAGGAGGGGTATGGGAGCTAGGGAGCAAGCCTGGGAGGTTCCCCCTCCCCGCTCTGGACCCCTATTCTTTCTCATGATCCCCTGGAGATGGAGACACTGCATTCTGAGTGGTGTTCTCAGGTGTCTGTGGGAGCCCAGCAAGGTAGTGGCCCCAACTATTTGTACAAATCCCTGTTAGCGCTGCTTCTTTATGAGGTGGGATTGGGGGAAGCAGACCTTCACTGCTTTGGAAGTATCTGAGCCCAGAGAATCAAAGCTTGCATGGGTTGGTAGGCACTGAGGCCACGTGTAGGCTAATCCTGCACTCCCCCCACTCCCCCCAACAGCAGCCCAGGTAGGAATTCCCACGGCACAGCACCCTTCCCAAGGGCTGCCTCCCAAGGATGCTGGTTTCCAGGTCCCCTGGGTGGCCAGGAGCCAGTGGATGGCCCTTTCTGGCCCATTATCAAGCTGCTGTGTGGGCAGAGCTCATTTTGGGAGTGGTGTTGCCAGGTTTAATTTTGTGAGGCTGAGGGCTGTGGTCCCCTGGACTGAGGCAAGGAGGTGGTAAGAGGCTTTCTTCCCTGCCCCTAAACTAGAGGCCCCAGGAGAGCTCAGCTTGGGGCCAGGCTGCTGGGACCCTGTCGGGTTTGGGGGGCTGAGGGTCCCTCTTCTCCACCATCTTGCTGCTTCTGACCCGTGGTTTGCTGGGCACCTGTGATTCCTGGCCAGGGCTCATAGCCTCTGGTGGGGTGTGTTAGAGAGATTGGCCTCGGGTAACCTCACCCCCGTCTTCAGCTGACTCATGATTCCTCGGGCTTACCCTACCACATCCCCTGCTTCCTTTTCAGTGGGAGGGCACCTGCCTCCTGGCCCTGAAGGGCGGAGGAGTGTGCTTCCCGGGAGCGTGTGAGAAAGTGGCATGATCTTTGTGAGTGTGGCGGGAGGGCGCAGGGTCATGGAGCCACGGGGTCAGGGTGGGGGCTGTGGCCGTTTGATGTGCCTGGCCGGGTTGTGGGGACGCCGCCACATAAAAAGCCCATAGAATTGCTGCCTGACACTGGCCGGGGCGGGCTGCTTCAGCCGGGGCTCCCTCTGCCCACTGTCAGCAAAGGGAATCCGTGTGTGGGGTGGCAGGAGAGCCTTTGAAAGCCCTCAAAGGCCTCTTTATTTGTCCTTCTGACCCTCCCTTCCCTTAGAGAGTGACCAGGGAGTGGGTGCCTTTCCCACCTCCTCCTCTTGGTCTTTTGAATTTTGGAGAAAGTTCAGGCCAAGTTCGTTCCTGTCGTGCTGCCTCACTTCCTCCTTCTCCTGCTCAGGGTCCAGCTTGAAGTGGGGGCAAAAGAGCAGTAATTGGGAATCCGGGCTGGGAATCCCGGCTGGGAGAGGCTCCCTGATCCACTCTGAACCTTCAGGAATTTCAGACCCTGGGACTGGGGCTAGAATGTCCTTGGTGCGTACGTGGTTGGGGTGGGGGTGGGGGGGTGCTTCTGTCTTTCCTGTCTCTGATACTCTACCTCCACCCTGTGTTGGGCGGGTGGGGAGCGTAGGTCTCCCAGTACCTGGAGCTGGGCAGATACTCTAGTTCACTGAACTTGCCCAGGGCCTCCTCCGTGGGCTCGGGGTCTGTGCCCCCAGGGATGTGGAAGGGTGGCCTGGGGCAGAGCACCGGGAGAGTTCCCAGGGAGCTTGGGTTTCCTCCAGCTTTCCTGCAGTCCCGTCACCAGGGGGCCTGGAGAGGAGGGGAGATGTTTGGAACTTGAGAGGGACTTGGCATCCTAGAAGACTGCTCGTTCTTTTCTGCGAGGTCCGCCCAGACTCCCCCTTTCTGTACCTTCTCCTCCCCCTTCCTCCAGCCCCCTCCTCACCAGGTGAGCTCGCCTGCAGCTGGCTGTTCTGATTGATCTTCTGTTTGCCAGACAGGCAGAGGGCTCCAGGAGCAGTGGGGCAGATGCAGAAATTGGAGGGCATAGAGGAGAATTAGACCCTGACCCCCCTTCCTCTGTCCCTGAGGAACGCAGGGGAGCTCCCCAAACAGGGGGGCCCAACAGTGACTCTCACATTCAAGCTTTGCTGAGATGTGTGCCCTGGGGCTGCGGCCAGGAGTGACAGCTGGAGAAGGTGCTGACCCCCTTCTTGTTCTCTGACCTGTCTTAGCCTGGGAACCAGGCAGGACCTGGGCTTCTCAGTTTGCACCCCAGGAAAGAAGGCCCTGGAGGTGATGGCTGGCTGACTGGAGCTAGTGTTGGGGAAGTCCTCTAGTTTACACTGGAGCTGAAGTGGGGGGTGCTGAAGTGGGGGGCAGTGAGGTGGGGGCGCTGAAGTGGGGACTGGGACACTGGAGAAGAAAGGGGGCTTTGGAGGGGAGTGCTGTTATGGGACTGGGAAGAGGAAAGTCTGAGCATGACAAGAGTGCCTGGAGCCCCAGGGCAGAGTAGAGCTCAAAAGGAGAAGGACGGGCTCAGCAACCTAAGAGCAGAGGGGCACCGAGCTGGGCTGGGAGCGGCCCACTTCCTACCCAACTCCTTTCAGTGAATGCTTCACCTGGCTGGGCCCCTGGTAACCAGGTGGAGAAGCTCTGGGGGTAGAGAAGGGCACTCGAGGAAGGGGGAGCCAGCCCAAGCCCCGTCTGGGCTGTGGGAGGATGGGGGGCATTTCCTCTTTTCATGCTTTTTTGCCTTTCTCCCATGTGGCCTAAGGAGGGTGCTGCTTACTCCAGGAGGACTGAAGAGCTGGATTCAGGAAGGCAGGCAGGAAGGGGAGGTGATTAATGGTTGCATGAGAGCTGCAATTTATCTTAAACAGCAGGGAACAACCAGGGCCTGAGCAGGAGGGTGGCTGTGGGTGAGGCCAGGCCTAACAAGGGTTCTGTTTGTTCAGGGAGGACCTGGTCCCCTGAAAGCCCAGAGCAGGTGAGTGTCCAGGGCCCTACCTGACCATGGGTGGGGAGTGGAAGGGGCTGGAAGCCTTTTGACCCAGAACCCCTCCCACCAGGCTGGACCGTACCACCCTCGGTCTCCATCTTCCTGATGCAGGTGCAGTGGAAATGCAGTGACTGGGGAGGGGCTCCAGTTGAAGCCACAACAGCCAGTTAAGACTGCTGACTGGTCCCGCACCCACAGTGTAGGTCAGTATTTTACACTGCTCCCAGGGATCCCCCAGGAAACCGGTGCCGCTTCCCAGGCGTACCGTGTGGCTCTGAGGGGGACTTTGGGGAGGAGGCTGCAGGTTGCCCAGTCTTATCTGAAGTTCTTTCTTTCCTGGTCTACCAGCGGCAAAGCTCCAGCAGGTGGTTATGGGATGGACAGGTCTTACCCAGGATTGTGGCTTTGTAACATGCGAGGCCCCATGGTGCTCAGTGTCATTTGTAAAGATAAAAGAAGTTGAAGTGCCACATTACTTTTGAGATGGGAAGAGGGAAGGAGCAGAGGGCTGGGTGTGCTCCTGAAGGCTGTCTAGGAGGGGAGGAGAGGGGCCGGCCCTCAACCACCGTGGACCTTGTACAAGAGTAGCTGCTGTTCTACAGCAGTATTTATGGGCCTGAATTGGTGAGGAAAGGGAAGGCCCTCCCTCCAGGACGGACCAGTGGCTGGAGCTCTGCCCTGCCTTTGTTTTGGGGTGGATGGCAGGTTAGGGACCTCTAGCCTTTCTCACTGATGCCGCCCTCTGCATGTCCCTCTGATGGCCAGCCTGACGTTCCCTGTCTTGTCATCAGCTCTAAGGGGAGCAGACTGCGGGGGTGCTGTGGTCGGAAGCAAGGCCTGAAGCAACCCTGTCTGGGGACACAGGGTGGCGCTCACCCAGAGGGATCAAAGCACAGGGGCAGGGCAAGCATGAAGGGATGTGGGTACCTTTCCCCTGAGAAGGGAGCCATTTGGGGAACAGGGACAGGGTGCCTGAGAACGGTGGCATCCTGCCAGTGCAGGGGGGTCACTGACATCAACACAGGTGCTGCGGCTTCCTGCCCCTGTGAGGCTGGGACCTGGGACCGGCCCACTGTCCTGTGACAGGTGGGCAGCAGCTTGTGGGAATGTTTCTTCCCCATGAACACTGAACAAGGGAGAGACTCAAGAGCGAGGCTTTCAGGCCTAGCTTCTTCCGGGTGGTTTCAGTGACAGGTTAAAAACCCAGCTCCGCAAACCACAGACTCTCCTCCGTTCCCCAGCCGGCCTCATCCTGGGGGTGGGGGTAATGGTGCAACGTGGCTCCCCGCCAGGCAGTGTGGAAGTAGGAAGGTTGTTACTCTCGACAAAGGGGAATTGAATGGTTTGGGAAGTGGAGAGAGAGAAGCAAACAAACCAGGCCTGGCAGGGTCTCCAGGTACTTATAGCTGGTCTTGGGGGAACTGGCAATTCAGTGGGTATGATTTTTTTTTTCCCCCCGTACTAGTGGGCAAGGGCAATTGTAAAGATGTTTCAAAACAGAATAACCCACATGTGTTTGGCTCTGGAGTATGCTGAGGTTGAAAAATCATATTTACCTTATTAATTATGCCAGCCTTGGGCTAATATTAACATGCATTTCCTGGTTGGGCAGTGGGGGTGGCTCCTAGGTGGCAGGGCCACGCCGCTGGTTGGCAGGAGGTAACAGGATTCAGAGAACCCACAGAGCAAATCCTGGAGGCCCGGTTCCCAGGGCTTAACGCTGTGTGTGTCGATGCTTGTCCCTGCCCTTTTAGGATCTGAGGGATGAGATGTGTCTCCACCGAGGTGCCCCACAGCACCCTGCGTTCTACATGGGCTGAGAAGCTGGACCTGGACAAGAGGGCTGGCAGCAATGGGCTCCTGGCTGGATGCTAGACAGCTGGTGGCAGTGAGGAGGAGGGGCCTCGGCATCTACAGGGCTGGGAGGAAGCAGGACTGGAGTGCGTGAGAGCCCCCGCCTCTCCCCGCTGGGCCCACCATGGTCCAGAGACTGTGCGTGAGCCGCCTGCTGCGGCATCGCAAAGCCCAGCTCCTGCTGGTCAACCTGCTGACCTTTGGCCTGGAGGTGTGCCTGGCCGCAGGCATCACCTACGTGCCCCCCCTGCTGCTGGAAGTGGGGGTAGAGGAGAAGTTCATGACCATGGTGCTGGGTGAGTCACTCCATCCTCCCTCCCGCCTGCTCCAGACACACACCGCCTGAAGTCACCGGGCAGCAGGTCTCTGCCCCAAGAGCCGCGTGCAGGGAGAGGGTGACCCTGGGCTGAGGGGGCCCCGAAAGGACGTACCCTAGTCACTTCTGTGTCCCTGGGCCCTACACAAGGCCTTGGCTTGTAGGGGTGCTGGAGGGATGAACCCTACCTTCTTCATATACAGAGCCCTTTATAACTTAACGGCTGTTGTCTCATTTAATCCTTACAACACCCTTTGAGGCAATCCTTTTTACAGAGAAGAAAACGGAGGCTTATAAGAGGTGAGGTGACTTACCCACGGCTGTACAGTTACTGATTAGTAGAGTAGATTAGGGTCTCCCAGCCAGGGCTCCTTTTCACCTCCCAGGCAGGAGTGGGCTCCTGACTCTGCAGATAAGTTCTGCAGAAGCCACAAGAGGCATGTCGCCACCAGCATGGACCCCCAGGAAGAGGAGCCGATCGGGATTGTAGGCTCCAGAGTCAAACTGCCTGTTAAACCCTGCCCCTGGCCCTCCCTAGATATGTGCCTTCGTGCAAGTGTCACTATCAGTACCCCCTGCCTCAGTTTCCCTATCTGAAAATGGGGTGGGGGCAGTTAGTAATACCTGAGGAGTCTCTGGGTGGTACAGACGGTTAACATGCTTGGCTACTAACAGATAGACTGAAGGTTTGACTCCGCCCAGGAACACCTCAGAAGAAAGGCCTGGTGGTCTACTTCAGAAAAATCAGCCAGCGGAAACACTGGAGCACAGTTCTACTCTGACGCACATGGCGTCGCCGTGAGTCGGAATTGACTCCACAGCAACTGAGTTTTTCTCTAGCAGTACCTGTGTTGTGAGGAGTAAATCAGAGTCCCCGTGAGGTACCTAGTACAGTATCTAGCGCAGAGTTTGCCTTCAGTGTGAATATTACCCTTATCATTCCCATCCTTCTCAAGAAGGTTGTCTCCCCCCACCGCCCCAAAGAGGGCCCCATTCACTGACTCTCACTATTTGTCCTTCCTGCAGGCATTGGTCCAGTGCTGGGCCTGGTCTCGGTCCCACTCATAGGCTCGGCTAGTGACCACTGGCGCGGGCGCTATGGCCGCCGCAGGCCCTTCATCTGGGCACTGTCCCTTGGCGTCCTGCTGAGCCTCTTCCTTATCCCGAGGGCCGGTTGGCTGGCAGGACTGCTGTACCCGAATGCGAGGCCCCTGGAGTTGGCACTGCTGATCCTGGGCGTGGGGCTGCTAGACTTCTGCGGCCAGGTGTGCTTCACTCCCCTGGAGGCCTTGCTATCCGACCTCTTCCGGGACCCAGACCACTGTCGCCAGGCCTTCTCTGTCTACGCCTTCATGATCAGCCTTGGGGGCTGCCTGGGCTACCTCCTGCCTTCCATCGACTGGGATGCCAGTGCCCTGGCCCCCTACCTGGGCACCCAGGAGGAGTGCCTTTTTGGCCTGCTCACGCTCATCTTTCTCACTTGTGCCGTGGCCACGTTGTTTGTGGCTGAGGAGGCAGTGCTGGGCCCCGCCGAGCCAGCCGAGGGGCTATCAGTCCCCACCACGCCCCCCCACTGCTGCCCGTGCCGTGCCCGCCTGGCCCTCTGGAACTTGGGTGCCCTGTTTCCCCTGCTACACCGGGTCTGCTGCCGTGTGCCTCGCACCCTGCGCCGGCTCTTTGTGGCCGAGCTGTGCAGCTGGATGGCCTTCATGACCTTCACGCTGTTTTACACGGACTTCGTGGGCGAGGGGCTGTACCAGGGTGTGCCCCGGGCTGAGCCAGGCACTGAAGCCCGGAGACACTATGACGAAGGTAAGGCTGCGGCTGTCGTGGGAGCTGCTGTCCAGAGGACGTCCACGGGGGTGGGGAAGCGCACAGCCTGTGCCTGGGCTGGATGCTGGGCTCCCTGGGTGGGCTCTGTTTCCTCGTCAGAAAAATGGGCTGGAGTCTCCTGGTGGTGCAAACAGTTAAGCACTCCACTGCTAGTTGGAAGTTTGGCTGTTCGAACCCACCCAGAGATGGCCTTAGGAGACAGGCCTGGCGATCTGTTTCCAGAAGGTCACAGCCTTGAAAACCCTGTGGAGCAGTTCTGCTCTGCACACATGGGGTCGCCGTGAGTAGGAATTGACTTGACCGCAGCTAACAGCATCACCACAGGCTGGTCCGGGCTCGCAGTGCCTTGTGGTGCCGGGCAGCTGTGTCCGGCCAGAGTGCCTGGCCGCCCTGAGAGTTTGATCCGAGTCATTGCTCCAAATGGACACGAGCATATTCCAGGTCCCCCAAGAATGGAGGAGTCCAGACTGGCCTCGGGTCTGCCTGGCCCCAGCTTCAGGGAGCTGTCTGCTCCTCCTGCGGACTTTCTAAACAGCCTCTCCAGCACCTGCCAGCTCAGGCATCCTGGAACTCTGTCTTGAAGCCTGTGGCAGAACTAGCTTTGTGTTCCCTCGCTCTCCTCTCCCCAGATCTGAGGCTCCCAGGAGAGCCTTAGGCCATCACTGGCGTTCTCTGCCTTACCTGTGGCTTTGTCCACACTCTCTGGGTCAGTGGAAGAACCTGGGCTCCTGGTGCCACAGGTCAGGAAGAAGGGCTTGGGGAGCAGGTCTGCACTCCTCATGCTGAGCTCTCCCCACTGGGTGGTATTGGGTCCCTTCCCCACCTCGTCTGTTCTGACTCTGTCGCCTCCTCCAGGGGTCCGGGTGGGCAGCCTGGGGCTGTTCCTGCAGTGCGCCATCTCCCTGGTCTTCTCTTTGGTCATGGACCAGCTGGTGCGACGGTTCGGCACCCGGACAGTGTACCTGGCCAGCGTGGCGGCTTTCCCTGTGGCTGCCGCTGCCACGTGCTTGTCCCACAGCGTGGCTGTGGTGATCGCCTCCGCTGCCCTTACCGGCTTCACCTCCTCGGCCCTGCAGATCCTGCCCTACACACTTGCCTCCCTCTACCACCTTGACAAGCAGGTACTCACGGTGGCTGCTGGGTGGAGTAGGGTGGGCGGGCGTTTGGGAAAGAGGTGGACTAGCCTAGAACTCGGCATCTGACCAGGGCCTTTGGAGAAGGTATTCTTTAATCAGAGAGGAAGCCCATCGGAACCCCAGAGCCAGAGGTGGGCTGCGGAAGAAGGGTTTAGATTAAACTCTGGGAATGACTTCCTGCTGTCAGGACCATAAAGCACTTAAGTGGATGATTGCAGAAAATGCACATTCCCTCCCTGGGAATCCTAAGAATCAGTTCCCAGCAGCCCACAGCCTGGGCTGAGTGAGGTGCATCCTATGTGGAGGCCGGGGGCTGGATCAGATGGCCTCTGGGGCACCTGGCTTCAGCCACTGCGAATGGGATGGCCTGGCCTTGGCAGCGCGTCTCCTTTTTCTGGGAGAGGCAGCGTGACTAAGCCGTGCCCTGCTTTGCTGTCCAGGATGGAGAAGGCTCCTTGCTGCCCGCTCTCTGGTTTATCGTCCCTTTCTGTCTAATTCTCTCTTTTCTTTCCTTCCTCACTCCTTCGCCTCTGTCCCCTTCCCCCTCCCCCACGGTGGACCTCTGAGCACCCACCTGGCCGACTAATCCGCCTGACACCACTCGCCTGGGCTCCGTGTAAGTTGGGGGGCTTCTTCCCTGCTCGGCCTCAACACTAACCAGCTTCCCCCACTTCCGGAAGCCTCCTGGCCTGGGCAGTGTGACCACCTTCCTCCTCTGCATGGGCCTCCCTGAGCTCTGACCCTGGGTGCAGATCTCCATCCTGAGGGGCAGGTAATGGGGGTGTCCTGAGGGAGGAAGAGGTGCAGGCCTGCCCTCATAGAGCGTCCAGACTGTGGGGAAGAACCTAGCCTGCCCTTGTGGGAGATGAGCAGGGTAGCAGACAGGTGTGTCAGCACGGAGGATGGGAGGCTGGTTAATGGAGTCGGTGACTACAGAGGTAGGGGGTGTGGAGGGAGAGGCAGGTCTTTTGGTCCGTCAGCCTCCACTCTCCTGCTGCCTTGGGCTGGGAGTGTCTGGAGGCCAGGACTGGGCACATGCAATTATGCCAGAGACCTCTGTCTGCTCGTGCAGCTTCACAGTGAGCCATGGGCTTCCCTGGTGTTGTGAGTGAGCTCTCCCTTAGCTCTCCACCACAACACAACCAACTGGAGAACCTTTGTGTTAGACACTGTGCTGGGCACCGGGGACAGTGTCAGATAAGACCTGACTGTGTCCTTAAATCGGAGGCTCCGGGCTGTTGAGAAGGAGCCCTGATTGGTGCAGTGGCTAAGCGCTTGACTGCTAACTGAAAGGTCAGCGGTTCGAACCCACCAGCTGCTCCGCAGGAGAAAGACGTGGCAGTGTGCTTCAGTAAAGATTACAGCCTTGAAAATCCTATGGGGCAGTTCTACTGTGTCCTACAGGGTCGCAGTGAGTCAGAATCCACTCGGAATCGACTCACTGGGGCAGGGTGGGGTGGATTGAGCAGACACAGGGCAGCCGGCAAGAAGGAGGTGAGCACGGCTTCAACATTAGCACAGATGGGGTATGGGAGTTGGGAAGAAGGTGATTCCTATTCCTATCCTTCCCAGAGTCCTGCACTGAAAGACAGGGAACAACCAAGGACCTCTCTTCTCTGAAGGCTGAGTCTCCTGAATCCTCCCTGTTAGAACCACAGGGCTGCCTGCTTGCCTTCTAGTTTCTGTTGCTGCTGAAGTGATGTGTCTCTCTGCCACCACCCCATGGTGGCAAAGTGCATTAACCACACAGGTGGAACTGGCTTCCCTCTCCCTTCTTCCAGTCTTGGGGGCTGGATGGCGGCTCTTCACATGGGCTTCAGTCTGGACTTCTACAGGGAGGCCAGGAAGGCAGGGCTTCATGCACTAGGATGCAGCACTCTGCAGGGGGATTACCCAGGCTCAGGATTAACATCTAGCGTCCTGGTCAAGTCACACCCAGAGAAGAGATTTTTGGGAGCTGCGAGGCATCTCACAGCAGGGCAGCAACTCACTTAGGGCCTGCGCCACTGGGAACAGTGCTTCTTCCTGTGTAGGGTGGTGAGGATTTCCTAATGCCTCATGGCAGGGTTGGGGGCAAGAAGGGCTGGGGGCCTATGTGAGGGTCTGGGCTCCCAGGGGCTCTGCCCTTGGATTTCATTCCTCTGTTTCTGCAGCCTCTCTTCTCACCTGTCTTCCTTCTGCAGTACTGAGCCTGTCTGCCACCTGCCTGCTCTAGGAGAGGCTAGAGGAGACCTAGACTTGCCTTCAGATTTGTCCTTTCTGCCTCTGCCCTTCCCTGCTCCTGAGGAGGGTCCTGACTAGACCAGATGAGGCAACGTCTGCTCAGTTTTCCAGCGTCTGCCTGGTTTTCATTTAGGCCCGTTGCCTGGTTTCTTCCAGCCCCTGGGGTGAAAGTTAGGGTCTAGGCTCACAGCTGGAGGAGACTTGTCCTGGGAACGCACCAGTCCTTGTCCCCTTTTCTCACCTCCCCAGGTGTTCCTGCCCAAATATCGAGGGGATACTGGAGGTGGCAGTGAAGACAGCCTGACAACCAGCTTCCTGCCGGGCCCCAAGTCTGGACCTTCCTTCCCCAGTGGACACGTGGGTGCAGGGGGCGGTGGCCTGCTCCCATCACCACCTGCGCTCTGCGGGGCCTCGGCCTGTGATGTCTCCATGCGTGTGGTGGTGGGTGAGCCGTCTGAGGCCAGGGTCGTCCCGGGCCGGGGCATCTGCCTGGACCTTGCCATCCTAGACAGTGCCTTCCTGCTGTCCCAGGTGGCCCCGTCCCTGTTCATGGGCTCCATCGTCCAGCTTAGCCAGTCTGTCACTGCCTATATGGTGTCGGCCGCAGGCCTGGGTCTGGTTGCCATTTACTTTGCCGCACAGGTGGTGTTTGACAAGAACGACTTGGCCAAATACTCGGTGTAGAGCACTTCTGACCCACTGAGGGAGGGCCTGTCCCACTGGGTCCCACTTCACCCTCTTCTAGTCTCAAGAGCCCCCACAGGGCTGCCCTCTGGCCTTCGAGTTTCTGTTGCTGCCAAAGTGTGAGGCTCTCTTCTGCCACCTCGTGGCGGTGAGGTGCATAGCTACACAAATGGGCACTGGGGCCTCCTTCTCCCTCCTTTAGCCTTTGGGGCTGGTTGGCAGCTCTCCAAATGGGCTTCAGTCTGGACTTCTGTAGGGAGGCCAGGAAGGCAAAACATTCGATTAGCTCCATGCACTGGAATGCAGGACGCTGTAGGTGATTATCCGGGCTCAGGGTTAACAGGAGTGTCCTGGCCAAGTCATAGCAGAAAAGGGATTTTGGGGGCTGTGTCAACTCAGCCACCTGGTCTCCCCCTTCCAAGTCCCCTTGCCGTTATAGGCTCCCCCAATATTGCTGTTGCATGGGGGTTTTTCTGAAATTCTCCCCCACAGGGATTGAGAATTATTTGGGGGGAAAAGTTCTGAGGGGAGAGGGAAAGCTCCCTGCGCCCCACCCCCACCCCCGGCACTGCCTTTCTGCTGACTTCCCCCTACCCAGCATTTGATCAGGACATGGCTTGTTTGTCCCTGTGTTGCTGTCATAGGGGCACAGGCCTTTAAATATTTAACTTATTTATTTAATAAAGTAAAAGGGAATCACTTCCCAGCTCTGCCTTATAGGTGTTTAGGAGTTGGGTAGAGTAGGATCCCTAACAACTGGGTCCCCTAAGATAGCTGATTATTGGGCTGAGCATTGCCAGAATCCTCTTTTCCTGGGGTGATTGGTGTGGCCCCCAAAACTGCCTAGCTCAGGAGCTTGGAAGCTCTGTTTACCCCAACGGAAATCCCAAATGCTGTTACCAGGGCTGGGGAAGTGGAGGAAGGTGGAGGGTGGGGCTTCAGGTCTCAGTGGTCCCCCCTAGCCTCCCCTTTGCTCCTGGCCCAGTCCCCTACCACCCTCTGCCCCCTCTAGGCCTGGGATGATGAAGGAGCTGCCAGCCTGCCTTTCTTCATTGGGTTCACAGCCTCCTCTTGGGGGACCAGAAGCAGAGTGTGCCTCCACTAGCCTTTGTCCGTCTCGGCCCCCAGGGCACATCTGTGCTCGGGGAATCCCACACAGAAACTCAGGAGCACCCCCATCCCCGGGCTAGGGAGGTCTTATCTCTGGGCCTTAAGTGCCGTTTGCAATAATGTTATGTCTTATTTATTTAGCGGAGTAAATATTTTATACTGTATGTGAGCAATCAGAGTATAATGTTTATGGTGATGAAATTAAAGGCTTCTTATATGTTTAACTGGCGTGTGTTTATCTTTTCTGAGGGAGAAGGACTGGATCTCTTTAAAAGTATCCTCTCTACACATATCAGGCAGGCCAGACTAGTTCTTGCCAGTTTCAGCTGGTCCTGCCACCACAGTCTCTTGTTTTCCTCACCTTGGCCAGAAACAGGAAGCATACCTAAATAAGGAGATAACTTAATGACGGGGAGTTAGTACCTATATCACCAAAGACGGTCGTCGCAGCCCTTTGCCTATTCAAGATGGCAGGCAGGCTGCTGGGCTCAGAACTGCCCTATTGGTTTTCCAAGGCTGTAATATTTATGGAAGCAGAATGCCACATCTTTCTTTCATGGAGCAGCTGGTGGGTTCGAACCACCGACCTTTGGGTAAGCAGCCAAGTGCTTTAACCACTGTGCCAACTGGGCTTCTTACTTAGTACTATGATAGTGAAAATAATTAAGAGTGTGTAAGATCTCCACTGAAAGGACTAGACTTGTCATGCTGTATGCACTCATATGATAGACGAGATTCATCAATGCTGGATACTATCACTATCACTATGTTTATAGTGACATCCACCTGAATTTGGATGACCATCTCCAAATAGATTTGACGCATTGAACACTAATGGCCGAAGACCAGATGAGTTTTGGGATGATATCAAAGACATCATACAGGAATAAAGCAAAAGGTCATTAAAAAGACAGGAAAGAAAGAAAAGACCAAATGGATGTCAGAAGAGACTCTGAAACCTCCTCTTGAATGTTGAGTAGCTAAAGCAAATGGAAGAAATGATGAAGGAAAAAAGCTGAACAGAACATTCCAAAAGGCGACTTAAGAAGACAAAGTAAAGTATTACGATGAAATGTGCAAAGACCTGGAGTTAGAAAACCAAAAAGGAAGAACATGTTTGGCATTTCTCAAGCTGAAAGAACTGGAGAAAAAATTCAAGCCTCGAGTTGCAATATTGAAGGATTCTACGGGGAAAATATTGAATGACGCAGGAGGCGTCAAAACAAGAGAGAATACACACAGTCACTGTACTAAAAAGAATTGGTTGATGTTCAGCCATTTCAGGAGGTAGCATATGATCAAGAACTGATGGTATTGAAAGAAGTCCAAGCTGCACTAAAGGCATTGGTGAAAAACAAGGCTCCAGGAACTGACAGAATACCGAGATGTTTCAACGAACGGATGCAGCCCTGGAGGTTCCCACTCATCTATGCCAAGAAATTTGAAAGACAGCTACCTGGCCAACCAACTGGAAGAGATCCATATTTGTGCCCATTCCAAAGAAAGGTGATCCAACAGAATGTGGAATTTATCGAACAATATCATTAATATCACATGCAAGGACAATTTTGCTGAAGATTATTCAAAAACAGTTGTAACAGTACGTTGACAGGGAACTGCCAGAAATTCAAGCTGAATTCACAAGCGGATGTGGAACAAAGGATGTCATTGCTGATGTCAGATGGATCTTGACTGAAAGCAGAGAATACCAGAAAGATGTTTACCTTTGTTTTATTGACTATGCAAATGCCTTTGACTGTGTGGATCATAATAAATTATGGGTAACATTGTGAAGAATGGGAATTCCAGAACACTTAATTGTGCTCGTGAGGAACCTGTACATAGACCAAGAGGCAGTTGTTTGAACAGAACAAAGGAATACTGCGTGGTTTAAAATCAGGAAAGGTGTGTGCCAGGGGTGTATATTTTCACCATACTTATTCAATCTGTATACTGAGCAAATAATCTGAGAAGCTGGACTGTATGAAGAAGAATATGGCATCAGGATTGGTGGAAGACTAACAACCTATGATATGCAGATGACACAGCCTTGCTTGCTGAGAGTGAAGAGGGAACACTTACTGATGAAAATCAAAGACTGTAGCCTTCAGTATGGATTTCACCTCAACAGAAAAAATAAAAATCCTCACAACTGGACCAATAAGGAATATCATGATAAACGGAGAAAACATTGAAGTTGTCAAGGATTTAATTTTACTTGGATCCACAATTAACACCCTTGGAAGAAGCAGTCAAGAAATCAAATGACACATTGCACGGGGCAAAACTGCTTCAAAAGACCTCTTTAAAGTGTTCAAAAGCAAAGATATCACTTTGAGAACTAAGGTGCGCCTGACAGTATTTTTAATCATGTCATATGCATGCAAAAATTGGACTATAAATAAGGAAGACCAAAGAAGAATTGATGCCTTTGATTTATGATGTTGGTGAATAAGATAGACTATACCATGGACTGCCAGAAGAACAAACCAGTCTGTCTGAGAAGAAGTACAACCAGAGCACTCCTTGGAAGCAAAGATGATGAGACTTCATCTCATGTACTTTGGACACGTTATCAGGAGGAACCAGTCCTTGGAAAAGGACATCATGCTTGGTAAAGTAGAGGGTCATCAAAAAAGAGGAGGACCTTCAATGAGATGAATTGACACAGTGGCTGCAACAATGTGTTCAAACATGGCAACAATTGTGAGGACAGCGCAGAACCAGATGGTGTTTTGTTCTGTTGTAATAGGGTCTCTATGAGTTGGAATCGACAGCACGTAAGAACAACAAAATCAATGTCACTGGCCATGTTTTCTTTATAGGGACATCCTCTTCAGAGGTGCGCATACAAATCAGAGACATAATTTCAATGTGTCCACTACTAGTGAAATGTCTGTATGACCAAACTCAGAAGTAGGACAAAATTTCAGAAACACAGCAAGTTTACTTGTGGTTGCCAATATTTCTAGTATAATATCCTGGAATAAAATCAGGGATGCTCTTGTTCATCTGGCATTCTTATAAGTATGTCAAACCTTGTCTGTGCCCTAGATGCATTTGGAATGTTTGGATAATGTGGCTGCTAACTGTGTTATATATGCAAGTAGAATTGAAATGTATTTTGTTAACAACAGTAAATGGATGTGGAAAATGTCTTTGTTCCATAATTGCATCACTTGTGGGACCATAGGTAGAGCTGCATATATCTATTTCTTAAGAAGTGCCAACCTTTTTTTTTATGTTCTAATTCCAGTTGTTTTATTTGCTTTTGTGGCAGGTTATATCCTAAAGTACTAATTTCTGCATTTGGTGCCCATCCGTACAGGACTCTTGGAAGCTGCTGGCCTCAGTAGGAGACAGATTCAGATGTATGCTTGCAGAGCTGTTCTCCTTGGAGATTGAGGGAGACTGGTACGACTGGGCTGGGGCAAAGAGGGAGAAGGAGCTAGAGTACAACTTGGTCTAAAGAAAAAGAAGTGGAAGGGTTAGCTTACTTGCTCTGGGAGGAGGAGAAGGAACTTCTGTTTGGGGGGCCAGTTTATCTAGTGAAAGGAACTCAGTGCTGAACTTTCCTCAAAATTGTTTAGGGAAATGGGATTGGCAGGGCTCCAGCGAGATTTTTGCATTTTCTGAATTGCTTGAATTAGGAAGGAACGGGTATGTACGTATTACGTGTGTAATTAAGCAAATAAGTTGGGTGGTGAGACTGGAAATAGTGAAAACACCTTCATTTAGCAAAATTTATGGAAGGGTTTTCTGTGTCAGACTCTGAACTAGAAATGCTAGGTTCCCGTTCTTATGGAGGCACAGAGTAGAACTGCCCCATAGAGTTTCCAAGGAGCGGCTGGTGGATTCGAACTGCTGACCTTTTGGTTAGCAGCTGATCTCTTATCAGCTGAGCCACCAGGGCTCCAGAAGGCCAATAGAAGCTAAAATTTGCTGAACACTTACCATGTGTTAAGCATTTGGTGTTGATTAAATCATTAAAATTTCACAAGAAATCTTAGGTAGATGCATTATCATACTTATTTTACAGATGAGGAAACTGAGGAACAAAGACATTAAAGAACTTGCTCAGACACGGAGCTAGCAGAGACAGCATTCCTGCTCTGAAAGTTTGATCCTAGAGCCTGCATTCCTCACCTAGGCTCTCCTGCCTTCTCTTTGGAGAAGTTTGTTAGTGAGGAAGAGACACCAACAACAGTAGTGGTGTTAACCTAGATGTTCAAGGTTCTCTGGCCTGGGAGGTCACATTTCCCAAACCACAGGAGTCTTAACCTGTAGCTAGTCTTTTACTAGTTTCTCTTTCCCAGGTTCCACAAATGTAAGCAGACAGTACCTGATTTAAGAGACAATGTTGGA